TTCAGAATTATCTCATTATAGGAGCTTGTTTGTGATGTAGCAAAGAACATACGGTTAATGTAACCTACACTTAATGTTTCTCCTTTAACCAAACTCTGCTCTTTCTATTAACCATTGCCACTTAACTGTATAACATTCTTTTCCATCTTTATAAAACACTGAGTTAAAATTCTTACGCACAGAGCAAGATGCTAGACAGTAGGGAAATAGAACCATAGAAACAGTGGATCCTCAAGTCCCTCCCTTCCAGTTTAAGTGCAGTGTGTTGTGAATTACGGTTGATAGAGAGAAAAGTTGTAGATCTTCAGGGGGTGGAGCAGTTCCACTGCACAGAGAATGAGGAAACCCTTGTGAGAAACTCATGTTTATGCTGGTGTGGTGGGGTACATCTGTAATTCCAGCACTTGGGAAGGAGACAGAGACAATAAGTTCGCTGCCAGTTCTAGACTAGCCAGAGCTACATAGTGAGACCCTGCCCCTAAACAAATAAAATAGAGCAAAATCTAGATTCTGTCTAAATTATTTAAACTATTAAGTTTGTAAAAGCCTGGGTTAGGATGATAATCATTTTGGTGGACTTGCTATGTTTGCTGACATCTCTTTTTGTAACTTGTATTTTTTAAACAGTCTTTTCATTTGTCTTTGAGTGATGCACTGATGCAGTCTTTGGGATAAGATAGAAGAAGCTCCTTCTTCTGGGGGCCTTTGCATGTTCTGATCCTGAAGAGGAAGGACCATGTCCTTATACAAAGTTGCTTTCTGTGATCATCCAGCAGGAGTTTAGAAAGATGCTGTAAAACTCTGGGCCGTTTCCTAGCAAGCAAGGAGACTTTTCATTTTGGTTCTCTTTTCTCCAGCTAAAACCGTTGTATGCTATTTAGGTATACTTTCCACAGAAGACCCATATGTAGGGCCAGGGAGATAGTTCAGTCCATAAAGTGAGGACTGAGGTCAACCACAAGCATGCATGTACAAAAGTTGGCTATAGTAACACACAGTAATCCAAGTGCTGCGCAGAGAGTAACAGCGAGGCCCTGGTGGGTAGCCAGCTGGCCTTCATTCAGAGTTCTAGGTCAGAGACGGACTGTCTCAAAAATAGGTAGACAGTGCCTGAGGCACAGCACCAAGCTGCTCTTTGGCCTAGACAAATGCATACACACATGCACCATATGCAATAATTATCCTATTCTAACTAGTTTAAGACATATAATAAATAACTTGGCCAAGTCATGAGAGGAAAGTAACTACAACTATCTAGTCTTCAACCCCATCGAAGATCCAAGAAGGGAAATAATATTACTTGAGTAAGCAGGAAGTGCAATCAAGCAACTTCCAAAATGTGCAACAAATGACAGAGACAACTGGCTCCTTGGGCAGTCACCCAAAGTCTCATTTGCTATGTTGAAACAGCCAACTTTGGCTAAGACCTAGCGTAACTGACAGACCATTTCCAGAAGCAGGAAAATTTTCAAAACTGTCTTACCCTGTCTTGGCAAGATTTGACAGTCAGTCTTTTTCCTTGTGTCTTGCTTATCCATTTCCTGATACCATGTACCTTGTCAGTGGTTGAGGCATGGGCAGTTCCTTGCCCAAAGGCCAATTTTGCCAAGAAGAAAACACGCTCCAAGTGGAGTGTCTTTGGTGTTCAACAGTTCTCTAGGGAATAGATCAGTGATGTCAAGAGCAATTGTGTCTCATATCAACAGAACCCTAAGTTATTTAAATGCCATATTGTACAGTTCTTTGAAGTGGTTGAAGATTACCTCTCTATGCAGAATACAATCTCTATGTATCTAAAGAACCTGATTAGTCTAAGTATAAAAATGACAGATATAGATGACTACTGATCTATAGTTCTTAATACCTATATAACTTAAAGACTAAGACTTCATATTGAAAAGATTATACAGTAAACAACTGTGCAACAAATGAGGACAGTGACCTCAAAATGTAAGCAATGTACAAGTATCTAGATTAGAGGTAAAAATGTACATTGCAATATGATAAATATATCCCAAAATTGTATCAATATACAAAAATGTTTTAAGCAGAGGTAGAGACATGCATGCATACAATATGACAAAATAACTTTGCCTAGGTATACAAATATGGTGGATGAAAATAGGAACATATTCAATATAATTTAAGTTTGTATCAGTATACAAGAATCTATACCAATGTAAATTGCCTATAAATAATAGCTCAGAAGCATTCACTCAGTTACTTACTATTATTAGTGTAAGTTCACACTAATCTATTATCCCATCCAATTCCCCCCCCTTTTTTTTTCAAAGAGATCCCTGAGCCTACAAAATTTTGCCCCCAACTGACAACTTTATATCAATTATAATCAACCCCTAAATGATGTCCCTAACCCTGAGGACAAACTTTGTCCTTCTTACTACACTCTGGGACCAGATTGTCTGACTTTACCACCTAATGCTGTTACTTACAAGCCCTGTGACCTTAGGCTTATTTATGCTTGTTTACTACCTGCTAAATGAGACGATAAAGGGTGACTTAGAATTACTAACAATATTAAAGAATCTTGTGGTTCATTGGTACCTGGCTCCCAAAAGATCAGCTCTTACTCTATGTGCTGTTTCCTGTGCTCAGATCAGCCGAATTGAGCAAATGCTACTGCGGTGGTAACCACAGTTAGTGCTGGGTTTGTTGGCAGGGAGGTCTATTTGACAAGTATAGCATGCCCATGGGGAATGGGAGGAATGAGACAAGTGGGAGGTTGGGTGAGTCTTCTTGCAGATTTGGGGCCCAGTGTGTGACTCTGGTGCAGCCTTAGTCTGCAGGTTCTGCAGTGTCATGGATGGATCTAAGTTTCTTCACTGCATGTGATTTCTGCCCATGCATTAGTAAAAGGATGTATTTTTTTCTGCCTTAACCTTCTGCTATTGGTAAAACAGCTGCATAGATACATAGTTGTGATTTCTTGGAGAAGGATGGAAGTGATGGACCTTGAGACTGATGACAGAGACAAAGTGTTCTGTAAATCTCATATGATCTCCCCCAGTCCCTCCCTCACTTCCTCCCTTCTCCTCCTCCCCCCTCACCCAAACAAATGCCACACTCATTGCACTCTCCTTAATTCCAGGCCTGCTTGTGGTTTTCATGTTTCAAATTGTTTTTAATTTTCAAGCATAAAGTACCTCCCATTTGCCATTGCTGTTATTGTCATGAGAGCTGATTTTGATAGTTGGTGGTTGTTATTAAAAAATGAAAGGTATGTTTTATTTTGAGAATTTTGGATTTAATTGAGAGTGACTTGCTACAAGCATGGACTCTGGAGGCAGACCCTGCCACCCTCTTTAAGCCTTGGGTAAGCTTCAGTTGCCTCCTGACATTCTTACCACATAAAGTCTCCTTGAGGATTAGTTGAGGTAAAATGAGCAAGGGCAGGTCCTGCAGGCCCCTGAATGTTGCTCTGTAATATTTGCTGCAACCGATTTCTACTAAAATGAGGTAGTGGTGGATTATTTCGAGAAGGAAATAGTGGCTGCTGGCTCTATTTTGGCAGCTGGAGAAAAGTCTCCCTTGATAAAAGTCTTGGCTGCATAAGCTTGAGGACCTGAATTCCGGTTGCCAGCACCACATAAGAACTTAGTATAGTCTGTTACCCTAGTTTTGTAGGGCAGAGATAAGCAGATCCCAGGGGCTCGCTGGCCAGACAGTCTAGCTGAAAGGGTCAGCTTAAGATTTGGTAAGAGAGTTTATTTCAAAAATTATGGTGAAGAAGCTGGAGAAGTGACCCAGAGGTTAAAGAGCATTTGCTGCTCCTGAAGAGAAGGCAGTGGTGCACATATAGAAACATAGTAAAAACATGTATTCATATACAGAAAATAATTAATAAAAAGGATGGAGAGCGATAGAGGAAGACATCTCACATCAACCGCTAATCTCAACACATGTATGCATGGGTGTGCATTCCTTTTTATAATACACATAAATATGCATGCATTTGCATGCATACATCCATACATTATACACACACACACACACACACACACACACACACACACACACATTCAATTTCAGTAGACTTGCCTGGGTTTCGCTGAAAGCCAAGAATATCTCTCTCAATCTGTTGTGTTCTGTGTGCAGCCACTGGCTCTCATGGACTCACGTTGTACCTTTTCTGAGTTTAGAAGCACTGGATCTTGACAATTTAATTTTGAAAATAGAGTAGGGGAGGATTGAACAGCTGCAAGTCGAAGGGCACAAAGAAGCAGATGTAAGGTGAGGAAGAAGGAGCTGTAAACACAGACTCAGATGAGTAATTTGTAGGAAGGATTTGAGCTGTTCTTATTACGAAGTAACTATGGGGTAACAGGTTAATCAGCGCTGCTGTGGGGACCATTTTTTCTGTTTATATAATTGTCAAATGATGTCATCTATAACTTCAAATACAAAATAAAGTTTACTTAACTGAAGAAATGTAAAGTATGTAATTTTTATGTGGACTTTATGTTGCAATAGTATTTTTAATCATTTAAACCTTTTGTAAAAACTTCTGTCCGTTTTTTTTTTTTTTTTTTTTTTTTTACTTTTCACGTAGCTTGTATTATTTTTCTCCTGGGGCTTGCCATTATCAGTAAAGCAAAATTTTGTTATTTAATGTTCATTAGAAGCCTGGCACATCCCTTCCTAGTGTCCGTCAAGTGTGTTAATCCTAGCATAAGGGGGTTGTAGGACCAGGGCAGGAGTGACAACTGAGGAGGCTTCTGCTCACTTGGAGAGTTTGGATGAAAACACTACCATTTATAGTTATGCTGGCCTCGGCCTCCAGCCACTCTGAAGCAGAGGAGGGAATGCCTTCTATTCAAGAAGTTGAAGTATGTAGGCAAAAAATCACTCCCTCCTCTAGTAGGAGCCAGGAACAAGCTCCATTAATCTTTAACTGGAAGAATAAATACTTAGCATTACAGTCACTTGGGATAAAAGCATATCGTTTGCACTGCTGGAATGTCTGTTTAATTCTCTTTCAGATTCACCACCCCCCTTTAAAACCTGGAGACATTGGACTACGCAAAGCCTTGTTGGTAAGGTCTCATTCATTCACAAAGGGACTGCGTGAAGTTCCTTTTGAAATGCTAGACACACTTTAAGTCAAATGCATCCCTAAACATGGCTGAATATTTGTTTTCATTTTTTTCTCTAAATGATTTATGTATTTTCCATGCCTTAAAAAAAGTTTTTTTGTTTTGTTTTTGGCTGAGAATTGAGGCAAGAAGTAGATCTGTGACTGCATGCCAGATGCTAGCTATTAAAACAAAAACCTCTGTATAATGAAACCGTTTCCAGGCCCGTGCTGATGTTCTTGTTTCCTATAGTACCGTAAACAACAAGCTGTTCCTTGGCTGAGGAGTTTGCCTTGAAGTATATTGGCGTGAAAGTGGGTGCACAGCCACACACACTGGGCTGTATCTCTTTAATATCTCTTTATAGTTTTTCATTGTATGCGTGCATGTGTGTCTAAGGGGAGGTAAGTGCACATGAGGGCAGCTGTGTCTTCTGGAACTGTAGTTGCTGATGGTTGTGAGCCACCATCTGAGTGTTGGGACTGAGCTGGGTCCTCAGACCCTTTGCTAGAGCAGCCAGTGTTCTTGACCATGGAGCCGTCTCTCCAGCCCCAGGTCGTCTTAGTGCTTTGTATTCTTTCCCCTCTAACCCTAGTGTGCCTGACTGTTGTGCTGACAGTACCCCAGTGGTCGAAATCATTCTTTTAAGTGAACATCTGAGGACTAATCTGGTATCACTTCCTGGTCTCACAGCTGTATTCTGTTTGTGGTGTTAGCATTTGCTCTATAATAAGCCGCCCCAAATTTACTCCTCAAATAGCAGTTGTTTATGTATCTGCAAGTTCTGTATGGGGGGTGGGGCGTGTTTGGGGCTCAGCTCAGTTATATGACTCTTCCGGTTCGAACTGAGACTATTTATTCATGAGTAAAGTCCAGGTGAATGGGGCTTTGTTTCCGGCAGTCACATGGGTATTGGCTGAAGTGTTTATAATGCCTGAACCATGGATCGGTGCCACATTAGCTGTCCTTCAGGATGTCCCTGCTCTGCGCACAAAACATTTCTTCCCCTCCCCATCACACCGGCCCCGGCATCTCTCTCTGGTTTCTATATTCCCATGACCTAAGCCCATCCTCTCTTGCTCACTCCTTACTAATCTTTTTTCTTTGTGTGTGGTTGCTGTGTCCAAGCCAGAGGTCAACCATGGGTGTGGCGCCGTTGACCCTGTGTTTTGGTTTTTTTTGTTTGTTTGTTTGTTTGTTTTTCTCACTGGGACTTGTAGGTGGACAGTTAGGCTAGCCTCACTGGTCAGCTAGCCCAGGGGCTTGACTATCCCTGCATCTCCAGCCTTGGGAATACAAGCACATGCTGCTGCAGTGGCGTTTGACATGGTTGCTGAAGACTGAATAGAGGTCATCAGGTTTGCACAGCAAGCATTTTATCTACTGAGCCATTTCCCTAGCCCCTATGTCTTTTAACTTTGTTAGGCTAATCTGTTCACCATCACGTAAGGTATCTTGTTTCATTCTGCTTCCCCCTTTTCCACCTTAAGAGCCTTTATTTTCCTTGTGTTGTGTTGTTGTTTTGTGTGTATGGTTTTGGTTTTGGTTTGCTTTATTTTTTAAGGGTCAGTTGAATCCTGCTTTATTTTAGCCATCTATGATCTCACCCGCTCCAACCTCCTCCCACCCAAGTAGTGCCCTCTTTTTTTTTACCCTGCCTACTCTACCCTTTCTGGTGCTTTGTTAGTTTTTTAAAAGCAGTAATTTCCATATGTCTTCCATGTAGTCCAACAACACAAGCAGAAACTACAACAGATGCTTAGTTAACCAGAAAGCAGGAATTTCCATATGTCTTCCGTGTAGTCTAACAGCACAAGCAGAAAGTACAACAGATGCTTAATTAACCAGAAAGCAGCCCAGCCAAGCATTCGTTCACACCACCCTGCATCCCAGGTTATCGGAGTCACACTAGGTTCATGTTGCTTTCATTCATCAGGCTGGGGAAGACCACAAGTGATGCTTCACAGCTGGCAGCCGCTGGTCAGTGCGAGAACGAGACACTTGGGTGAAGCTTGGGCTTCAGCGCAGCTCTGGCAGTTCCCTTACAAAAGCCACCTCTCCGAGCTGCAGTCACCCTCTCTGGAAAGTGGGGGTGCTGCTTAACTCAAAGCTTACTGGAAACGGGGAAAAAATAAAATAAAAAGGATTGTGTGTAAAAACGCTGTGTAGACCGTAAAGTAGAACTGAAAGACATTAGCTGCTTATGGCCCTCTGACTACTCAGTAGTTGAAGACGGAGGTCACCCTACAGAGTAGTAGAAGAGGGACCGACGGTGGGAAGTGGGTGGAAATGGCGGGAGTGAATGGTTTACTCACAGGGTCAGCAGTAGTAGGGAGGGAGGGTCTGCTGTTCTCTGGGCGGCACCTGTGTGCCGGGCACTGTGCTGTCTGCTTCCACACACGTTGCCTGGAACATTCCCAGCTATGTGCAGAGCCATCTTTCTCTTGAGACAGGCTCCCACTGTCGCCCTAGCTGAACTGGGACTCAGAAATACTGCTTCAGCCCACACATGCCAGAGTGCAGTTGTAGGTGTGGCCACCACCCCCTGCTCTCACATGGACCATTTTTAATTTTTTTTTCTTTGTATTGCTGAGTTTTTTTGTGCATTTTCCTTTATATCCTTCAAAATACTGCATCCGATGTCCTATCTCTGGCAAAGGTGTGATGTTAGTTATTGATCATTGACAGCTAGACATTCTGTAAGAATTTCATTCAGAGAAGTTATTTTACTTCAGTCAGGACTGGTACCAGAAAGGGGCCCCTCATTCCACAGGGACTGATCTACTCATGGAAGGAGATTTACTTTGGGATTTTATTTTCCTTTCAGTAAGGTTTATTGGCTCTAGTTATTCTGCTCATGATCAGCAGAACTCCAACTTACACAGGTCACTGACTTCTATGACTGGCATGTTTGTCCTGTGTGAGCTTTTGGCACAGCTGTGTCAAGGAACTCCCAGGGCATAAATCCAACAGTACATGCTCTCTCTCCTGTTCTCCTGCCACCACCTTACCTCCATCAGCTTCATCCTCATCCAGGTATCACGCTCCATAGCTGCACCATGGTGGCAAGCGTAGCCACCAGCACCAGCACCATTCCCGCAGCCGAGCTTAACAAGAGTAACTCTTCGGCCATAGTTCTAATAGTAGTACCTTGGTATTTTGACTGGCCTTCTCTGGATGGCCTATTGATTAAAAGTGGGGAGTAGACCGCAAGCAGTATCTCTTTGAACACACTGTTCATGTGTCCCGTGACCAAAGGCAAGTCTACTGATAACCAAATGTAGTGGGTTCCCTATGAGGGAATTTTTATAAGAGTTTTTCCCAACAGGGAACGAAGATACTAGGCAGACAAAAATCTCTAAGCACTGAAGTGGTCTGATTTAGAAACTTACTAATTTGGAATCAAACTCAAAAAGTTGAAAATTTTAGCTGTAGCCTTGGTGGCACTGATGCTAGCTTCAGGTTTGGTGTCATGATCCTGGCTACCGGCAGGAAGCATAGGCTAGGACAAGATGGGTGGCCTCACTAGGGGCTTGGATGTCATGTTGCATCCCAAGGAACCATAGAGTAGTTGGTACCTGGAGGCAGTGGTTGAGCTTCAGTGGCTCTGCAGACCTTCTGTAATGACTGCCAACTTCTATGCGTGAGGGATCGTGTGTTCCATTACTCTCGCATTGGGCCCAGATGATAAGCCATTGTTTGACTTAACCGTGGCTGCTTTAGGTTTGGCTAGTTTAGTCTCTGGCATTAGTCTCTGCTGTTGGCTCACCTATCAAAATTTAGTGTCCATTGTAAACATGACTGCTTGTGGAACAGACGGTGATGTCAGTGGCTGAGCATTCTGCCTTAAATTATAGATTGAGATTTTCCAGCTTTACAAAGTTTTGACAGCCATGACTGCCATTTACCTAATGCCGGGTTCCACTAAATACTTGATGTTCATTATCTGAACTGCATACTTATGCACATGACTAATTCTGGGAACCTTAAATCTGTCCCAGTACATCCTGCTGCCACTCCAGAGGCTTAGGACACTGATTCTTTTCTCTCTCCCTTGTTTGCCCCTGTAGGCCCCTTCTCCACCTTCCCACCCACAGGTGATAGGATCAGAATCCCGATGTTGGAAGACACGGCTAAAATCATGTGGTCCATTGCTTTCACACTCTGCTCCAGACATACATTCTACACAAACCTGCTCAGCTGAGAGAATAAAACAGTGTAGGCTTAGCTCTCAGACTTGGTCCGGTACATGATCTGAGTACTCTGCTTGCTTTCGTGTGTGATTCTAAGCAAGCTACTTGCTTCTGAGCCAGTTTCCTTATTGGTCACATTGTCCATACCTGCCTTATGGAATTGTTAAAGGGGCTAGGTGAGGTTCATACCTCACCCCTAACACACATGCGTGCACGCACGCACAAAAATAGAGACATGTACTCATTCAGTTAGAAAATTTTAGTACTCTCTAGGAAAGGCCACCTGCTCTTCTACATGCATGGCTTAGGGTCTCTCTGGGTGCCATGGGAGGAAGAACACAGTATTGTCACAGTTGGCCTGAACCTAAGGACTGTGTTGTGTTAACTTTTCCTGGGAACAACATAAAAACGAAATATAATTCCATCAGAATCCAAGTTGGCAAATTAGTGAGTTTAATGGGCGTATTTACAGAACACAAGGGAGGTACTGCTTTCAGGAGCATGTTTATCCTGAACATCCTGTGTCAGACACAGACAACACATTTGTGTCTTTCTACAGTGACAGGATTTCTTGAATAATAATACATTCACAGGGTATGTTGGTTTCGATGAGGCAAACTGACTCTTTACTTCCAGTCTTAATTACTACTAATACTAGTTCTCAGATCACACACTACATATCACACGGTCAGTATCTGTCTGCACGTGCAAATGTGTAGGGTAAAGAGTGACTACAGAAGATTAAAGAGGCAGGGAGTGTAAGGAGCT